GTTTTTTAATTGAATTTTTTTGTGTTTTTTTTTTTTTTTTTTTTTTTTTTTTTCCCAATATAGCAAGTATTAGTGTGTTTCTTTCCTTCCTTGTGTGCCCTTTTGTTTACGTTATATAGATTAACTTAGATTCGACTGTGTTCTTCACACAATATACACACCTAATTTAGAGAATAGCTTTAATAATCTGCCTAATTAATTAAAACAAAGAAAGAGAGTTATAGAGTGCGTTTGGAACTCGTTTTAAAATGATTTTATTTTTTGTATGAAAATAAAAATAAAAACGTTTTCAATCTTAGACAAAAATCATTTTTGAAAATGTATTTGTTAGTTTTATCAAGAGATTGTTTTCAGTATAAAAAAATAATTAACGTCTCTCTCTCTCTGCTTGAGAGAGGAGAAAACGGAAACAAAAAATGAAAAACGACTAAAAATCGTTTTTCATTTCTCTCATATTTTATTTTAATTAAAAAATCATTTTTATTTCCGTTTTTTGATCATGAAGTAGAATATAAGTGAAAAATATGCTTATCATAAACAATCTAAAAGGGTAACAACGAAAGAAGCAAAATGGTAGAGAAAAAAGAGAAGGGGAATACACATATTAACAAGGAAATTAAAAAAAAAAAAAAAGCAATATTAACAATCTATATAGTTGATCATACAACAAATATTTTAACCTCGTTGGTTTTTCACCAATACCAACATATTGCCCGTTTACAGGGTCATTTTCTTGATGCAACATCTAAAGCCAAAGGCAATTGTGGTTGTGGTACTTGTGCTTTTTGCATCTGCCTAGCTAGAAGAGCCTTATCTATGGTTTCTAAAAGTTGTGTCCTCCTTGGTGTCTCTTGTTTATCTTCTTTTTCATCGCCACTTCTTTCTTTCCTGTACGGCTCAGTCTCCGCCAAGAAAAACCCTTTACCGTGCTCGCTCTCCGGCATCAAACACGGGTCATCTTGCCGGAGCTTGCACTTGTGCAGCTTCACATATCTCTTTGAGAATTTCTTCAACATTTTTTTTTTTTTTGGTTTCCCTCCTTCAATAGAGTGAACGAATGTGGGAAAATAGTTATTTATAGGTGGATTAGGTGTTTTGATGTGCTCAAGAGATAACAATAGCATTATTGGTTAGTACAACTAATCCCCTAAAACAGTATAATACCGTTTCTTTACTATTCTAAGGCATACCTTTGCGTAGTGCTTACGTTGATTGTAGTACCAATCTTTATCTCTCTCTCTCTCTCTCTTCATTTTTAAGCTTTAGGTTTAGGGTGTTTTTTGTCTGATATGTTGGTTTTTTTAGGCTTCTAGATGGTGAAGTTTAGCTCGTTCCCATGCCTTCTATGTACCTTCCGTTTGGCCACCTAATTAGATATGCAGAAAGAATTTTCATTTTTATCCAAGTTGAAGGTTTTGGACAAACTATATTAAGAGTAATGTCCTTAATTAATTTAGGGAGAAAGAGGGAAATAGGCAAAGACTTGAGATGCATTAAAATTAATAGGCTAATAGTTTACATAAGTTAATAAATATGCCAAATTACTAATTTCGTCAATAACTTGTCTGGTTATGAACCATAACTTGACAAGTTATTGTCCATAATTCACGGTTTTTGTCCATAATTTGTCTGACTATGAACCATAACTTGACAAGTTTGTCCATAACTCATCTGATTATATGTAATGACTGAGAAAATCCCAGACCTTAAATAATACAATTTATGTATTTAAGCCAAGGATTTTCTTAGATAAATATTATGTGACTGAAGGATTTATGGAATTAATATATGTATTCCTAAATTCAGTAGCAGATTTCATGTTAAGTTCATGTTTTCGATTAAGTAAATTCGATCGATAAATTCTCGTCGTACTTTAAGGCGGAATAATTTTCAGTACAAGTATAGTTTGAGAATCTTAATTTTAAGAATCTCCAAACATAGCGTGATGTTAGCAGCGTATAAAAAAAAAAAACGCACTGACATTTTAAAAGAATAGAAAATCCTTAATTGCCAGACAGCTAGGTTAAAGTCAGAAGATAAATATCCATAGTAGAAGGGTACAATGTGAACTCGGGAGTTGACACCGTCAGAAACAACGTCATTTCCAAAAATTAACGCAGGAAAGTTAAATTTAGAATTTGTTCAGTCTAGAATTAATTTCAAGACTGTAAACAGTTCAAGATATTACGCGAATAAGAATTTAATGTGATATCCAAAGCA